AAGAAAACTGCAGAGAACTGGCAGTGAGCACATACAGCACAGGAGGAAGGCAGGAAACTGGGTTGACCGCAGAGACGGCCATATGAGAATTGCTGCTGAGAAGTGCTGAGAATCAAGTCTGAGTGAGGAGGTTAGAGCCAAATTAAGACGGTCCTGTGTATTAAGAAAAGAAAAAACTACACAGGGCTGAGAATATCCCTAAGTGCCTGCTTAGCATTCTTGAGGCACTGGGTTCAATCCCCAGCATTGCCAAAGTAGGGAAAAAAACTACAAAGACAAGTTTGGCCAATTTAACTACAGAAACTGACCCTGAGTCAGGCACGTGACACATCCCTACACTCGCAGCTACTCTGGAATTTGAGGCGCAAGGATAGCTTCAGCCTAGCAGTTAAGAGCTGTCTGGGCAACAGAGCAAGATCTCATCTCAAAAGAACACTTCTGCATTAATTGTACAATAAAATTTTTACAAAGAAACTGAACACTAGCCAGATGTTTAATGATACTATTAAATTACTGTTAATTTTCTGTTTACTAATACTAACATTATTACATTTTTAAAAGAGCATTAACTTTTCAAAAATGCCTACTATAATACATATGAACAATATGATTAAATGTCAGAGAGTTTCTTCAAAATGATACAGAAGAGAAAGATATAAAGTAACATGGCTATGATTTTGATAATTGTTGAATCTGGTCGACAGATTCTTTTTTAAAAGGTTATACTATTTTCTGTACTTTTTCGTACACTTGACAGTTTCCACAACAAAGAGTAAAAATATAGTAATAACTGCATGGAGAGAGGAAGAACACGAAACAAAGCCGAATACAGGTAAATGAATGAAGCAGGGAGACGAGCGCATGGAGATTCACCGTGCTGGTCTACTTTTATACACACTGGGAAATTTCCACAACCAAAAGTTCTTTTAAAAAAATCTTGCTGGGAGTGGTGGCGCACGCCTGGAATCCCAACACTCAGGAGGCTGAGGCAGGAGGATCGTTGTGAGTTCAAGATTCACCTGAGCTACAAAAGTGAGCTCAAGGTCAGCCTGAACTGCATAGCAAGACCCAGTCTCAAAAAGAAAGACAAAAATAAAAATAAAAAAATAAAAAATCTTAAGAGTAGAATGGCTAGAAATAATTAGCAGGGCTGGAAATTTACTTCAGTGGTAGAGCACTTGCCTAGCATATGCGTAAGACCCTGGATTCAATCCTCAGCACCACAAAAAGAAATTTTTTTAAAGGTATATAAACAAGTAAATTGCCAAAGAAGTATGAAGAGGACCAAATGAGATAACCATTTTATCCTGAACAGACTGACAATAATTAAAACAGTCCAACATCAAACATTATCATCAAGAACAAGAAGTCGTAAAGACTCCGATACAATAATGACAGGGTCAAAATAGTAAAGCCACTTTGGATAGCAGTTCGGTTTAGAACCCTATACAGATTCTCAGTGCATGCAAAGACAAAATTATTCACGGGAATTTGTCACAAAACTATTTTTAATTTTTAGAATAATCTAAACTTCCCGCAACAAGAAGAAGTACTGCACACTCAACTCACAGATAGTATGTGGCAGTGAGAATGAATGAACCGGAACTGTGCTGTCAATCTGAGTAACTCGCAAACACAACTTTGAAGAGAAACAGGCAAGTGGCAGCAGACAACTTCTATTTAGACATCATTTACACAAAGGTACAAAATAGTCTGTAGTGTTTAGGGATAGATATAAATAAATGAATAAACCACGCATAGGAAAACTAAAACATATATAACACAAAGCAGAAAATGACAGCAATACACAAAGAACTCAACTGTATTTGTCATATTTTAGTTTTCATCTCCAAAGTGACGACATACATTTCTGATTTTACAAAAAGCTGTGTGTCTGAAGTAGGGCAGCCAAGAATCATGAAACAGGGCGGAAGACAGTCATCAGCTGATGACTGACACAATGGCCAAGACATCAATACTTATATTTCAGTGAAGACGTCTCACTAATAGCTCCAAACAGAGAATGGGAAGTAAGAACTGGAGACAGGGCCAGGGATGTAGCGATGTAGCTCAGCAGCACAGCGCCTTGCCTGGCAAGTGCAAGGTCCTGAGTTCGATTCCAGGTACCAAAAAAAAAAGAACTGGAGATGGGAATTTTCAACCATCCACAGACAAAAGGATTAAGCAAAACCACTGACTGGAGGAGCTGACTTGGAGAGATAGTCAAGCTGCAAGCAGAAAAGACCTGACTCTGAAGAACACAGGATTGGGAAAAACAGTGCCAGAGGAAACTGGAGAGGCAATCAGAGAAACACAAAATAACCCAGAGGGTTCGGCTGGAGGGAGGCAAAGGGAAAGCAAGCTTTGAGAGAGGAGCGGCTGATGCAGTCACATGCTTCTGAAGGCTGAAGAAGCCGTGCAATGAGGAAAGGCCACTGAATGCAGAGACGGTGACCTGGTCACCGCTGGAGAAACAGGTTAGTAACGGGTTCAGATGGAATGAAACTGATCTGAAACAAAGAGGCCTGGAATAAAAAACTTGATTTAAACTATAAGATCAAAGGAAGGAGAGAGATCCCGTGAACTAGACACAGAAGGGACGGGGCCAAAGTCATTTGAGCTGGTTTTTTAACATAACCACTTATCTAACACTGAAATACCACTTTTTACTGTTTTTGAGAACCTGAGAAGTTACAACAAAGAATATAACAGCTTTTTAAAATACCATTACCAGGGCTGGGGATTTAGCTCAGCGGCACAGCGCCTGCCTGGCAAGCGTGAGTTCATGAGTTTGATTCCTGGTACCGGAAAACAAAAACAAAAACAAAAATACCATTACCTTTCCGTTCAAAGCTCTCTTCCCTAAGAATGCAGACCAATGCCAAAAATTTAGTCACCTCCTTTAAATAAAGGACAGTGGTGTTATTCAGCTTGATGATCGCCATAGACTCTTTATCATAAGCGCTTCCACTTCCATCTTCCTTTAACCTATTTTGAAAGAAAGTACTCTTCAGCACTGTCACATTTAATGCACCCAATGACAAGTCTCCCCATTTAGATTCCTAAATTTCTTCTGAGAAAGCAAATTACTGGCTTAAACATACTGGAACATAGTTGTCATTTAGATGTAGAGACCACAAATACAGAATCTCAAGAATTCTTATTAAAAACCACCAGAAGTTCCGCACCCATCCATTACTATCATAGGTAATCAGAATTTGGAGGAAAAAGCAAAAATACACGTAGATCTTCACCAAGGAAATTACATTTCCAACATTCTGCCAGATGGGGCTACTCAGAGTGTCACAGTGTATTCTTTCCTCCACCCCTACCCGCCCTTAGAAAGGGTCTAACTCTGTAGCCCAGGCTGGCCTTGAACTTGTAGACCTGCTGCCTCGGCCTCGGAGTGCTGGGATTACAAGTACTGTACTCTGTAGGCTCAGCTGAGCTGCCTCCTCTGGCCCTCTTGGACCTGCCGCCACCTCAGCAAGTTTCCTTAAGGAACAGTCACCAAGTCAGGCTTATCAAAGCTTTGCTCAACAAGCCTTTTTATTTTTGGCTTCCTCACAAAAGCCAGAAAATTCCTGGACTACACAGAAACAGTCGCAGCTGGAAACCAACAGAAATTATGTTGAGTCCACAATTTTTAAAGAGGTAGGTTCTAAAAGGTTCTTCTTGGGGGAGGGTGTTTGGTTTTGTTTTTTGTTTTTCAGACAGGGTCTTGGTATGCAGTTCAAGCTGGTCTTGAACTCACTATGTAGCCTAGGCTGGCCTCAGACTCACAGGGATCCTCCCACCTCAGCCTCTCAAGGGCTGTGATTACAGGCATGTACTACCACACACACTCAGCTTCTAAATCTTTTTTAATGTACTTGCTTAGCAAAAGTTAAAGTTGTCTAGCTATTGCTAAGAGCCTTTTTAAAAAAGCAGTATTTGCCTTCAAAAAAAGCTGAAGGAAATACTTTAAAAAGAGAATGTTCTGGCAAGTACGAGGTCATGAGTTCGAATCGTGTACCAGAAAAAAGAAAATGTTAACAGTAGTTGGTTTTCGTAGAAAACAATGCTTTTTTTCTCCTGTTTTTACTTGTCTGTATTTACTATGTTTTCCATGAAGAGAAGTTTTTTTAAATGATTCTGAACCTTATACCTCCTTCATACATTAATTTTTTTTTTTTTAGAAATCAATTTTATTTTTATTGGGGGTTTTTTTGTTGTTTTTCTTGAGTCTTGCTATTTTAGTACTTCAGGCTGGTCTTGAACTCACAGTGACCTCCTGCCTCAGGCTTCAGAGTGCTGGAATTACAGGAGTGAGCCCATCAAGCCTTGGAGCTAGTTATTTGGGGTTTTTTTGTTTGTTTGTTTATTTGTTTTTGAAACAGACTCTTGCTTTGTAGTGCAGGCTGGCGTTGAGTTCACTATGTAGCCCAGGCTGGCCTCAGACTCACAGGGATCCTCCTGCCTCAGCCTCCCAAGTGCTAGGATTACAGGCGTCCACCCCTCACGCCCCTCATACATTAATTTAATCCTCATAACAACTCAGATAACAGGAATTAGTACTATAGTCCTATTTAGCCACTTTAACTCCTTTCTACAGTAAGTCAAAGTAAACTAAATAGAAGTAAAACTATGCCCATTTTAAATATACAAAAACTGAAATTTATTAAAGGTAAAGTGGCCTCCTAGTGAAGTCAAGGCCAAATATAGTGTTTTAACTTAATTCCATGCGGTTTCCAGTATCTTGCCTATCTAGTATTAATAAAGTTGATTTGGGAAGGCAGAGTGATGGTGAAATAAATGTCACCTTTTTAAAAAAACATTTAAAAAAACCGTTTCCAGGCTGCGATGTAGCTCTGTGGAAGAGTATTTGTCTAGCATGCACCAGGTCCTGGGTTCAATCCCCAACACCACAAGGGAAAAAAAAAAAGAAAAGAAAACTACTTCCTTTTGACTGGAGGAGAGGAAGTCATAAGTGCTAAGTATTCTCAACGTATAGTTAGACACTGAGTAAATCATGTTCTATGCTACATGGAAATTGAGAACAGGCACTAACTGTGACAAGAGGCTCTGACAGAGACAACCCTGACAGTGACCTCCTACACCAGTGGTGGCAACCTACAGCATGCATGCTGCAGCGCACTGTTTGTATCACTGAAAGCTCTACAAGGTTCACCATCACTGCTACGTACCACAACCTGCAGCCATAAGAAGCTGCGAATCTTCTAATGCCAAGCCAGTATATGATCTAGAATTACACACTAGCAGGAAAAAGAAGGAAGAAAGGTATATTCTGGAGGGAGGGATGTACATGAGTAGAACATTGCTCGCCTACTATATCAGAGTCCCTGAATATAATCCCCAGTGCTAAAACAGAAAAAAAATCCAAGTTCTATTCAAAGTCTGATTAGACAGATTTGCTTTTGGTGATTCATAAAATGAAGAAATTAACATATACTAATGACCTTAAAAAACTTGCTCAAAAAAAGTATTTAAAGCATTTAGTGTCATGTTTTGGTTTTGGTTGTTCGGGTTTTTTTGGGATAGGTCTTGCTATGTAGTTCAGGCTGGCTTGAACTCACTATGTACCCCAGGCCGGCCTCAAACTGTCACAGGCATGTGTGTCGCCTCATCCAGCTTATCTGCTGCAATAGTTTTTAGGACTTTGAGGCAAATATGCTTATCGGAATTCCTACAGAAACATGTATATAACTTACCCATATATACAAGACACATCAATTACAACATCAATCATGTCACAGCAAAGTTCATAAGACTGCATATCCACAGGGGAGCTGTCTGTCGCAATGTAGATTTTGCTGACAACATCAAAGAGAAAAGCTTTTTCAATACCTGAATTCTTGGAAAAACAAAATTAGGAAGTGTTCAGTTTCTTTTAAGAATCACAATTTACAGTTTATTGACTAATATCCAAGATCATATTTAATTATACAACCCAATGCCAGAACACAAACAGTATTTGGTTGAGATACACTTCTATTATCCAAAGAATGAAAAGTGGAATTATTTCTCTGCTTCAAGTTACTGACATAACTGCACAAGTCAAATGTTTTTCTTTCTCTTTTTTGCTTAATTTCCCAAGGCATCACCAAAAACTTAACAAAAAAATTCCCCAAACTCAAGCTATACAGCTGGACATAGTGGTGCATGCCTGAAATGCCAGCACCCTGGGAGGCAGAAGCAGGAGGATCACAAGTTCAAGCCCAGCCTGGGCCACTTAACAATTCAGCAACCTCATCTCAAAATTAAAAAACATAATGAAGGACTGTTGGTGTAGCTAAGTGCAAAGCCCTGGGTTCAATTCCTAATGGGAGCAAAGGGTGGGGAATCAAGCTAAGCTATACAACATTTTTAATCTTTTATTATCATAATCAATCTCTGGTTTGAATGACCTTGCTACCAGAAACTCTTTATGCGAGCAATTATCAAAACAAAGAATTACAGTTTGATATCAACATCTAGCACAACCCAAAACCCTCAAGTGTTAGAGTGGGGTCACCACACATTGAGTTCTTCCAAAGTAATGTTTGGAAAATGTAACAGATACATGTTGAATTTACCGGGGGACAATCCGTTTTTTTTTCTTAAGCTGGATCCTCAAAGTAAGAATGTTAACATATGATACAAAAATTATAGTTAGCGAGGAAAGGAAAATTTCTCAACATGACCTCTAAGGAGGTGGAGATTTATATTAAACTAAGCTACATTCCCAAGATTTAGTCTTTTCTAGTTACTACTCTTTTTACAGGAAACAAGTATCATGAAGATTTTAACTGAGAAAGTACAAGGAAATTTTTCAGCTGTTCCTTACAAACAAAAGGGAGGATAGTACTAAGAATTCACAAAATAACTCAAAGACAAAGTACTTTATGCCCTTATTTATTTGCATGCTATTTAAGCTAATTCAAGGCCCATTTTTGTGAGAATCTGGAAACACAAATATGTTTAACAATGAAAACAGAAACTAGAGTGAATGAAGCAGCTCACTTACTGATATGAAGATATTTAATAGGTTTTCCAAGGTCGGCAGCTGTGGAATGAGTTTCTGCACCACCTTACTAAAGGCTTCAAATATTGAATGATCATAGATACTAGTCAAATAAAAGCTGAAAAATACAACACAGAAAGATTAATGTACAAAACACCTAACCACTTCCCAGCCCAATTATCTAAATACAGAATGACCAAAAATTTGCATACTTTATTAATTTTTATAACATAAGAGAAAATATCAGAATGACAATTTTATCAAATTTATTCAATACATAAATTGGTTGAAATGGCACATGCCCAAGTGACATTTGAGATGGCACGTAACACACGTGCTATCTGCTTGGCTAAACCGTGAAGTGGTTAAGTTTAGTGACAACTACATGTACAATGAGGTTCAATAGGTTCAAGTAAAGGCAATCTTGTCTACCTTCCCCATTTCTCCAGATTACAAGTGCAGTTTCACACCTGGCCTGTGGTGATCATTTGCTTTACTATATTTTCACAGAGGGCAACTAAGGCAGCACCCAGGGAAGCACTTCCAGATGCAGAATCTCAATGTGTGCCTAACTCCTTGCAACCTGACCCCTAAAGCTTGGTTTCTTAAGCACTTGAGATAAAAATCAAGATTAAAACCTGAGAGAAAGCTAGAAGAAATAGGTGACTTATTAAAAAATATAATCCAGGTTTCTACTAAAATGACATGTCCTCAAAAAATAGTAATCCTATACCTGGGCTGGGGATTTAGCTCTGCGGCACAGCGCCTGCCTGGCAAGCGCGTGGTCATGAGTTCAATTCCCGGTATCGGGAAAAAAAAAAATCCTGTACCTGATACTTTCCATCCCTTCACCCTAATTTTTCCTCAAAGCATTGGTAAGTCCTTAAAATTGTACCAATTAGGGACCAGGGATATAGCTCAGTGGTATAGTGCCTGCCTGGCAAGCATAAGTTCCTGAGTTCAACTCCTGGTACCAAAAAAAGAAAATTGTACCAATTATTTATATGTGCTTTTGAGCTATTATTCACCAGAATATAAGCTCCACAAGGAAAGAGACTTTTGTCAGTCTTGCTCACAGGGGCAAATTTAATGCCCTGAAGAGTGCTTGTGAGTACTGTAACTGCCTACAAATGAACAAATGCAACTGGTGCTTAGAATTTAGGTAAACAGTATAATGGGGTGGGTGAAAGCTGGAGCCCTATGGAAAACAGGCGTCTGCCAACCTAAAAGGATATACAGCAGAGAACATACATAGATTTCATAAAACATGTATAAATGAAAGAAATGGACCTCTAACAATTTTAATACTGTGAACAATTCTATCTGCTTTTTTCACTTAGGAGTATAATCGTCTTTATATAATTATATTCATGACACATTTATACATACATATTATAAATTAGAGATAAAGAATTATGTTTACCACCTTATAGGTAATTTACAGATACTTTCAAAGAGTTGATGTAAGAATGTAATCCTATGCAAGCAAGGGCTCCGCTCCAGGTGTGAAAGCAATGAGGCAGGTAAGGACAAATGATCTCACAAGCACTAGGAAAAAGGAACACCATTTTACACCATTTCCTTTAGGCAAAAAGATTAGCAGAGCAAGCAGAGTCTTCTCTTTGTAGGTAGGTGGGGACAGGGAGAACCTGCATCCTCACAGGACATTTTACAAAGCTGAGTTTCTAGAAACTGGAAATCAAACAGAGCCTCATCCATAGACCTATTAGTACTAAATAAAAGTGTGATGCAAGGAAGTGTAGCTCAGTGGAAGAATATTTGCCTAGCTTGCATGAGGGCCCTGGGTTCAATCCCCAGCACCACACACACACACACACAAAGACAAATAAACAATTTAAAAATTAAAGTTGGAAGCAATATTCTGCTGAGGTTAACATGGTCTAGGGTTCTGGGATGGCCTGAAACAGGCATGCAGTAAGAAGAATCATGAAGTTCCAAAATTAATAGTGGATTTCTAAAAAGAAAAGATTGAGGAATATTATAGGGAGGCACTTTTACAAATAATGGTGGATTCTGGGTTTCTATAAAAGCTTTAAAATTTTAATTCAAGCAACCTAGAGGTCAATGAGACTTTTCTAAGTTTGCTAAAAGAAGATGATTTTGGAGCCTGAAACCTGGGGAATACTAAGCGCAGGAAGAGGGTTGGCTTGAGCCTATAAGGAATCACTGTAACAGACAAGGGAAAGGCAAATCACTGCACTATTATTCTTCTCTGCTTCCCCTTTACACTGCAGGTATCGCTGAGAACATTTTCTTGGGTACTTCAAAAAAAAGGGGGTAAGATGTATAACAATATTCCTCATATACTTTTAGAACACAATACACCATCATCATCCTATTAGATGTTCTTTAACAGTTATTTCTTAACATTTAATTATAAACCAGTCGTCTTTTAAACTTAATAACAGCACTGCAAATTTATAGGATAAACTGCCTTAACCCAAACCTTAGAGTTTCATCAAAGTATAAAGTGTTTTTAAAACTAAGATATACTGTGCTTGTTTTGGTAGCACATATACTGAAACTAAGATACATGAGAATCAGCCCAGAATTGAAAATGTGCCTCCTTTAAGAGGCTCTTCCAACAGAGAAAGATACAATGAAGACTCAAACTACAATTCAACAACAAATGTGACAGATTCCTTGCACTCAGGCAAAGGAGTGGGGGAGGGAAAGTGACAAAATCAAGAGGAGGGAAGTCCCAAAGCAGATTTCTGCCATGAGGAAACAGCCTGACTCCAGTCTCTTGAGATGAATTTGCAAAAAACACCAATGAAAACATTTCACATGACTTCAGTCTTCAGGAAAATGAAAAGGGGGAAAAAGTTACTTCTCAATAACACCACATTCCCAAAACAGCTTGGAGATCAGAAACATTACAAGTAATGTTAACATCACAAGCAACAGAAAGCCAGTGTTGTAATGACAGAGATGGGAATACATTTACAGGGCTCTCATATCAAACACACATGTTGTTACCTAAGATGGAGTTTTTCTAGCCCAGCATCTGCAAGGTCATCATTGGCCCTTTGATGAATGTCCCTCTGTGTTTCTATTTTGTGATCATCAGACAGACCATCAACTTTGTGAATAAAAACCTCAAAATTCATGTCTGGGTTAACTTTGTAGGCTTTAGAAACAGTAATGTGAAGTCTTGTTAAAGCCTCCATGTAGTCATCCTGTAAGTCAGAACAAAATATTTTTTAAAAAGAAATCTTAGAAACGAGTTAAGAAAGCCTCAAACCACCTTTTTCCCCAACCACAAAAAAAGTATTATCCTAATTATTCATAAATATTCAGATATACCAATTTAACTGGCTCTTCAATTTCTTAAGCTAGAAAATTCAATTACAAGTTAACACCTATAATTTTTAATATCTATAATAAAACCAAGGAAAAGGACAATGGACATTTCTTCCCAATAGAATTTTTCAAAGTAATCCCAGCTCTGCCATTTACTAGGTGTGTGGCTTTAAGCAATTGCTTAAACTCTTATGATCTCAGTTTACTCATCTGTAAAGCTGGAATTACAATACCTACCTCACAATGCTGTGAGGATTAAAACAGCTCATGTATGTGAAAGCACCCATATGAAGCCTATCAATCAGCATTGCTAACTTTAAGCTTATTTAAAGTATGCCTCTTACAGATAGGAGCATACCCCATTCATCTGACTGCCCGCCACACGGTGGGATCTTAATAAATTCTTGTTGGATTACATTCATTTTGAAAAAAAACTATTCACTCTAATATATAGTGACTCAGTTCTCATATTCCTTTATATTATGGGCACTTTTATACTTCAGAATCCTTTCAGTGATCAATGTCAGTACAGTAACAGTGAATAAAATACAGCAGCATCTGCTAACCAATGAAAGTGGACAGCCAATGCTACCTGCTCACTAACCAGGACTCAAGGACATAAACCACATCTCACAACATCTGATACTGTGGAAATTGCACAAGGACACGTGCTCCCAAAGCACCTCTGCAACTGCATGTCTTACGCTGTCAGGGAATCTACTGGCAAAGAAATAAACTACTAGCACATGACATGAAAGATAAAACAACTTTCCTTTGTCCTACATCTTTTTCACCATCAAGGAGAAGAAGTAAGTATCGTTATTCCTAACTACCTGTGCATCAATGACATATATCAGTGCTCCTGTTCCCCTGAAGATCATTTCGTAGTCAAAGGTTGGGTCAAAAAAGTCCATTTGCCCAGGAAAATCCCAAATCTGGAAATTCACAAAGGAGCTATTGGAAATGTCGTCTTTGTAAATCTTGTTGGTACTTTCCAAAAAGAGAGTCTCATTGGGTGACATCTTATGAAACACCACCTGTTGAGGAAAATAAAGACAATAATATCACACTTCAATTTCAGAATTTAAATTCAAAATTCCAAGTTGGATTCACTTTTAAAATAACTGATCCTACATTTTTAAAATTTGAAGAACTGAATGCTATATCCACTTTATTCCTGATGAAAGAAGACATCAAATTAATTTGTATCCAGTCTATTTTGAAGCTGAAACTGTTGGTTATTTTCTCTGCACCATATTCAGTACTAGTTGTATCACAGTCTCTCACCTTCACTTGTTCTCTTACTTCCCATGGATTTAAACTTGTCAAACTCCACTTCTAGATTGTTAACATCTCATAGCTTAAGTTTAAGAAATTTTGTTCATTCAAAAACTACTTGAATGCCTACCTCAGGCTCTGAAGAACATTAAAAATTAAAATGGACTGGATCCTGCCTACACTGAATTTGTAGTCTCGTGGAATAAAACAAGGACAGTAATAAACCAAATAGAAAGTGAAAATGTGCAAAGAGGGAGGAAGGCCTATGGGAGTTAACAAGTAGGCAGCTCCCCTGAGAAGGTACGGTAAGGCCACTTAGGAACCACAATACTAACAAGCCATACAATTCTAACATAAAACTAATTTGTCTCGCACTGTTACTTTGCAGAAAGAAAAAAACAGTTACTTCCAAGATTCTGTCAGTGAGATAACACGTGAGAACTACAATCAGTTTACCAAATGTGTACAAGACTTGTTGTAGAGGTGAAAAGCAAGGTAAATAAAGCGCAGTAATCCAGGAAATTCGGAAGCTACTTTTCTCAAATATCTTCTCTACAACATATCACACAGAGATTTATTTTGGGAAGACCTCTGCAACAGAGTGGAAAAGTCTAAGGAAGTACTTCAATTAGAAGCTCTGTGTGTAATGGGGATGAAGAAGTCAAGCCTGCCTCTATGGCCACTTTACTAAAAAGCATACAAACCTCGGTTCCTACTTGATCGACCCAAATGGACTGGTGTCCCCTCTGCAAAACATTCTCGAAGTCTCCGAAGATTTTTGTAACCACACACCTACAGGTCTCCTTGTCACCAGGAACTACACTCACCAGGTCAAGCACTAAAATAGATGCACTAATAATTCCCAATTCCCAGTAATGTAACTGCGAAGTCTCCTTCAAACTACTAAAAAAAGTATTAAAACGCCCAGTGCCTGAGTCACAACTCCTTCTGACGCTACTCCCCGGGGCTCGGCTGGGAACCCCTGCAAACTCTGGTCACCTGAGCGACAGCGAGCGTGAGAAGGAGTCCCCCACGCTCCAAGTGAGGGCCGGAGGATACTTCTCGGATTCGCCCATCGATGCCACCGGGGCTGGGTCCAGGGGGTGGACGATCGGGCGGTGCCCCGGGCACCTGCCTCCAGCCTTCTGCGGGTCGCCTTCTGCGACCCACTGGGCCTCAGCTGACTCGGGCGTGGACGCAGAGGTCCGGGTCGCCGCGCGGGCCGCGCCTCGGCTCTGCGCTCGCAGGGAGAAGAGAAAGCGCGCCGGGAGCCAGGCAGGGACAGGTGGCCGACGCCCTCGCCCGGCTTCCACGCCGCAGGCACCTGAGCCCCGCGACGGGAGAGACGGGAGAGGACCGGGCGGAGGGGGCGGGAGGGCCGGCGCGGCCCCGCTCACCTTCTGGATGGACGACTTGCCGCTGCGCCGCAGCCCCATGAGCAGAATCCTGGGCTTGGAGCTGTCAGCGCCCCCAGGGCCGCAGCCTCCGCCGGCCCCCGCCCCAACGCCGCCGCCCGCCGCCGCCGCCTCCTCTTCTTCCTCCTCCACGCCGTAGCCGAAGTCCTTTGGAAACGAATCGGCCGCGCCGTAACTGCCGGCGAGAGGCGTCTCCTCCGCCCCGTACTGCAGGGACATGGTGCTGGACCGCCGCCGCCCGCGCCTTGACAGGCCAGGCCAGGCCAGGCCGCCGCCTCCCCAGGCCGCCGCTGCCACCGCCCCCGGGCGCCGCCACCGCCGTCTGGCCCGCCCCCTAGCCCGGGCCTGATAGGCCCCGAGACAGAGCCCGGCCTCTCATTGGCAGTCCGAGCCGCCACTTGGAGGCAGCAGGGTAGGTGGTACCCCATCACGTGCCCGGAATCACCTGACCTGCAGCCGCGGCGGGGGGAGGAGGAGTCACGCGGAGGGCGGTCCAGCCGCGCCTCTCCCAGGGCTCGGGCCGGGGCCCAGCTTACGCGCGTCGCAGTCCTCCCGCACGCGCCTTGTTCGCCCGTCGCGTCCCAGCCTCTTTCCAGTCCCCGGGAGCACCGCAAAGGTAGACGCTCTCTGGGCAGTTGGGTAAGAGCCGATAGCCCGGCTCCTACCATGGTGCTCGCACAACCATTATTGCTGCCTGCGATGTCCTGGGTGCCTAACGTACACAGAACTGGAACCAACTCAGATCCTGCCTGCCCTCAAATTGCTTGGATTAACAGAGATCGGACCTCTGCGTAAGTAGCCTTGGTACGAGATATTACATGGGAAAGCTGTAGGCATAGATGAAATGCTTAGGAATCAGCAGGGTGAGAAAATCTGTAAGGAGGTGGCGTCTGAGCAGAGCCAGATGGTAGGATAGGTTGGGATGTGCGAAGATGTGGAGGAGGAGCCAGTAGAGGGCAAAGGCAACCGAAGCAGCCATGGGTCAGTGGTAATAGCTTGTTCTGGCAGGTAGCTAGACCCAGACCGGAATCAATGCAGGCAAGCTGCTGACAATGGATACTGCTGCCGCTTTAAACTCACCAGCACTCAAGGTCCTTTCTCATTTAGGCAGTCTAATTCTCCAGTAATTCCACCCTCCCTTAGAACGTTGCATTGTTTATGATCTTCAGGTTAAGAGTCCAAAGGAGTGAATAATGAAAGCAAACCAAAGCACATGCTTGTTATCAAATATGTTTGAGAAAGCTAAGGAATTTTCATCCTTCAGTCTCTACAACTGGGAGTGTGACAAGAGGACCCTCTTAATGCAGTCTTATACGCTTTAAAAAAAAAAAAAAAAGCAAGATGGTAATGGTCCTGACCTTCCAAAGAGGCTTCTTGATTATGAAGGGAAAGTACACTCATGCAGGTCCTGGACTTTGTGTGTGAAACTAGAAGTTAAAGGCAGGACACACCCTTAGAGGTCATCTGTCCCAACCCTTATGTCTCTGGCTGATGAACTTGTGGAATGCATGTAACACTTTTTTTGAGGGGTGAGGTTTAAGCCAGGACCTTGCTATGTAGTTCAAGATGGCCTTGAACATGTAGTCCAGACTGGCTTCGAACTCCTTGCAATCCTCCTGCCTCAGCCTCTGGAGGGGCTGGAATTCCAGGTGTGCACCACCACACCCAGTAAAATGCATTGAAATATATCCTCCTTGGGTGTTCATGGGGGATTGCTTGCAGAACCCAGACTAGAGGATACTCAAGTCCCTTATGTAAAGTGGCCCAGTAAATGCACATCCTCCTCCTACTCTATCTCTACACTGATTATAATCCTAATATAATGTAAATAACGACGGTATTATATAGGGAATAATAACAAAAGTCTGTGCCTGTTCAATACAAACACATTTTCCCCCAAATATCTTTGATCCATGATAGGTTTATCCATAGACGCAAAACCATAGGCAGGGTCAATTATAGTGCCAAAGAAGGAAAACTTACCATCTCAAAAGGCAGACAATCCCACTGTGGCAAAGTTTTGTTTAAAAACTTTCTTATTTAAGCCAACAGTCACAAATGCAACCAAGTGAGAATTATCTTAATCTTTTTCATAAAAGTCCTTCAAATATTCAATTGCAGTCCTCATTACCCACTAGGATAGTCTTCTCTGTTCCACACTAAACAGCTTCAGTTCCTTTAACTGTTCCTTATTATTACTTCTGTGATGCTGGCCAATAGAACTTCTGTGATGACAGAAATTTTCTGTATCTGTACTCTTCAACATGGTAGCCAAAAACACAGACTAGAAATGTTGCTAGTGACTGAGGAATTGAATTTTTACTTACTGTCCACATGTAGCTAGTGGCCTCCATATCGGACAATACTGACTTATATTTGCACATTCCCTTTCCTTATTGGTCATTCTTCCAAACTTGTCAACATCTTTCAAATGTTTGGCACCCACAGAGCAATACTAATCAATAAGCCTTCAGAGTAACTATTTAGAACCTAGAAAATATTTCTTTCAATGCTTTACAAAATGGAATGTTTTTAAAGTATCTTGGAGTATAAGTGGTTCGCATTGATAATCACTGGAACTAATACTGTCAGCAATCCTACTTCTTAACCTTTTAGAAAACTGCATTTCTAACATAAATATAAGTCTTGATATTTCAACCAGCTGGGCCCAGCAGTTTGTGTATTCCAGGTTGATAATCATTTTAAAATGTATTCCAAAATAGTCTACCCACCAGCCGTTCTGATTTTGTAGCACTTAAGAGATTTGGCATTACTACCCTCTGGTCTGTTTGCAGTCCTTCACATTTTACAAGGCATTTTTACGTCCATTATATTTAATTTGATCCTTACACAACCTTGTGAGGTAGGCAAGATGTGAAATCTATATTTTACAGATAAGGCAGCTGAAGTGCAGCAGGAACTGAAGTGATGAGATCCAGTTTCTAACCCATTGAGCATCTTGTTGAATACAGTCTTCACTCAAATCCTTGACAGAAATGTTGAAGGGCTCCTCCAGAAGCCAGGCTACCCTGAATATCACTAGCTGGTACAGCAGTTAAAGCAGGTCAGTTCCACCTGAAGTGTGATTATCTAAACTATATGTTGCAGCCAGGCGTGGTGGCGCACGCCTGCAATCCCAGCACTCGGGAGGCTGAGGCAGGAGGATTCTTGTGAGTTCGAGACCAGCCTGGGCTACAAAGTGAGCTTAAGGCCAGCCTGACAGCGAGACCCTGTCTCAAAAAGATTTAAAAAAAAAAAAAAAACATAAATATAGGTTGCCTTGCTGTCCAAAAGAATGGTACAAGAGACAGTCACTCACTGATATAAGTATCAGTACTAATCCAATGAGAGAAAAGCAAATGAGGACTGGTATCCAGGAAAAACGTTTTTTCTTTCTCTTGTCTGTATCTACAGAGGGACTCCTATATCAACTGCTTAAAGAAGCCAGGTCCTCCCGCTCTACCAAAACCTTCATGGGGTCCTGTGTTATTATTCCTCTGGCTCTCAGCACATCCTAACCCACCTTGTAACTGTTTTTCTCATAACCTACTTCAAATCATCTTTACCACACCAAGCACTTAGCCCACTACTGTCCATGTAGGAGGCACTCAAATTGGTAAAAGAGAAATCTAGCCAACTGAATTTTCTTCTAGTACTATCTGGCATGCCTCCAAAAACAAACTTGTGACTAGAAAAGACTGACAACTGCCACATTCCTATAATCGTGACTGATTAAAATGGCTTAGTCACAGTTTTCAGCAGGTTTCAGTGCCTTTGCTGGTTACACCAGCTTTCACTGGATGTGCTGCTTGGCTGGTTAAATTTGCAGTGCTGGGGATTGAACTCAGGGACTTGTATATGCTCAGCCCTTTATCCTCAGAATAACAACAGGTTCTTTTAACACTAGGGACAGAATACATGAAATAGGAACACTTCTTTAAAATGTCAACCTACCAGTGAGGGAAAAAAGTGATCAACAAAGCATCTGACAGCAAGTCTTCCAAAAGAAAGGAAAAAAGACTAAAAAACAAGAATATAGTGCATTACCACTTACAAATCTTTCACATACATTCTCATTTGACCCTCACAACAACCCTGTGAGGTAGGCAACACAGATGTTCTTCTCATGTAACAGATGAGGAAAGTAAATCTCAGAGTGGTTAATGTGCCCAGAGTTCTACAGTTAGTAAATAATTTGTATTAGTATCAGTCTTTGGCCTAAAACTTCAGCACCCAGACTCCCCTCATATATGCCCACCTACTTCACAGGGATAATGAAGATAAAATGAATTCAAAGCTAGAAAAATACTTCGAGGAAAAAAAAAACAGTATATAATTATACCAGTAAAGTGTAATTGTCCATGATAAATGGCTCATTCCCCTTCTCATCCCAGCTTGTGCATAAACCCAGAACATTATATTACCTCTGTCTATACTAAGCAACTAGGTAAGGCAGGGTAACAGTGTGATCCTGTTTAACGTTATATAAATCACAATCAGGGTAACTGCATTATTAAGCAAAATGAACAACACACAAAGGCTAATGAGCAACTAGGACCCACTAAAGCACACAGCAAAGCAAGGCAACATTATCAGATAGGGCGTAATTGCATAGAAGAAAAAAGTGGTGTCAGAGTTCAAACTGGCACACACATAGTTATCTAAGGCAAAGTGGTGGCAAAGAAGAGTTACTTGTTCCGCATTATATAAACAAGAGCAGAAAATTCATGGGAACCCATGCAAAAGCATCGTACGTCACAGATTTCTCCAGGTGCCTACAGGGAATATAAATACTGTTATCTTCATTGTAAAGCAAGATTGTACCTATGCTCATATCCTGAACTGAACCAAGGAACAGCTCCACACTAAACGTCCTTGGGTAAAATACAACCAGTAGTATTACTCCTAATCAGACTAATAAATAGAACGTCTTTTAAGGTAATGCGTTAGATGGCTGTTTAGGTTTTCTTCCGGATTTACTTTGGATTCTCCTGCTTTAAGACCCAAAGAAAGTTATATTGAGTTTTTATTGGTGATTCTAAGTATATGTGTTTATAACATTTAAAGTGTGAGAGGTGAATTTAACATATTAAAAGTTTTATAGCATCGGTTCAGAAAGGATTATATACTATGCAAACTATTCCAGTCATACAAAACCATTTTTCAGTGTCTTTTCAACTGAGAAGAATCCTATTCAGCACGCTTCTCCTCCTGAGGTGGTTCATACTGAGCAAGCTATGGGGCAAAGACAGAGGAGTTTAGATGAATTTTATTCTAAAAATCTTAACAAAACAAAATGAGACTATATCCAATTTAGTTCTTGAATCAGTAATCAGTTTCTATATCTATGCTGCTTAAGTCATTCAGTGATTTAAGATTTAATACAATCAAACCTATTAACAGCCCTTTTCAGATAACCTTTAATATTATTGGGAAACTGTAATTTTAGTCAATGGGTCAACTGTTCAAATTCTTGATGTGAGATAACCTTTATCTTCCAAAGATGCTGTGACTTATGGTAAGGAACTTTCTTTCCCTCTACGAAAAGGTTTACTGCAATTTCCCCTAAAAAGTAGAGGAAAGGGGTTATATACTATGTTATATACCATATATGGCCAGTCAGTGAATACGAACTGATGTCTTTGACTTAAGAGGTGCCAGAGAGTTAACCAGCACTTGTACACTGTGGAATCTTAGATAATGTAGGACATTTCTTTTAGACTAAGTTGTGAATCCTTGCAAGAACACTAGGATTTGTGTTCTTCCGAATAGCTGTCAGACTTAAAAGGCTTATTGAGTTCACTGTGCTTTAGTTTCCTCACCTATAAAATGTGTACCTACTTCACATATCTCACAGAGTTGTTCAGAAGACAGAACACATTATAAGAAATATCTACAGTAACATAAAATGCATTATGTGATTCAACTTCCAAGACAAGAGCTGATAATCTGAAGTTGATGAAAATTCTCATGGTTAAACAAAGAACAAACTTCAGCAGTAGATAAAATTAAGTGTAATTCTTTAAATTTGTTAACCCAGGGTCACCACATATAACAGTATAGATTGTGCACTGCACAGCGCTAGGAGGTGCCATTTACTAAGGAGTGGCCCCATACTGACCTAAACTGATTAAGAATTTTAGAACTACCCCTTTGCTGATAAGCAGAATTAACCAGTGTTTCCATCTTTTTGTTGATGCAGGTTCCCAAAAACCTCTTCTTAACCACACTTTGCTTGTCCTGTTACAGCTTCTCTTGATTTTTCAGATGGGGCCTAACTTTGCCTTGCACTTGACTCACGTCGATACTCGCCCTCCTTCCTCGGCTGTCCATTTTAGTGAGGTTGGCATCAAATAATCAGTAGAGGTGAAATTATTTTTAAAATGAATTCCTTTTAAAAATTTACCTTTGCTTTCAGTTTTTTATTTTCTTCTATAGTAGCTTCATACTTCTCTTTCATTTCTGCTAATTCTAGGCGAAGCAGCTCAATTTCTGGATTTTCTGGGGTAGCAGCTCCTAAGTGATGCTTTAAAAAACTTATTATCACTGTTAAGAATTTAGTTCTTATAACTGCATGAAGCTAATGAAGTAGCCCAGAGTAGCATCAATATTCCTGACCAGAATTCACCCATGCATCCATCAATATTTACCCAGATGATCATCCAGATCTCCAAGGAAGCCGGGCATAGAGGCGCACACCTGTATTCCCAGCACTCAGAAGGCTGAGGCAGGAGGAGCTCCATGGGTTTGAGGCCAGCCTGGGCTACATAGTGAGTTCGAGGAGGCCTGAACTACATGGCAAGACCCTGTCTCAAAAAAACAAACAAAAAAAGAACTAAAAGGAAAACAACCTTTTCAATAAGCAAAAGTACTTTAAAGGTTATTACTACCTATGTGAAAAAATAAGAATTTCAAAAATAAGGCCTTTCTCGGACTCCAAAGATGAAAAGGATACTCCAAAGCACTATTAGGTTTCTCTGGTTCTTCATATAAGGCTACCAACACTGCAAATCAAAAAGCAAAAAAAGCAACAATTAAAAGTCTTAAATTTGAATGGCTGAAATTATATTCCATAACTCAATAAATATTAAGTGTCTACTATATGCCAGGTATACTGCTATGACTATCCATGTAGTGGTGAACAAAACAGACAAGGTCCCTGCTCCTAGTGAATTTACAGGCCAGTTACAAAGGATAAGCAAGGAGCTAGACAAAGAGTTTGAAACAGCAATATTGGGTAATAGGCTGCTGGAGCACACTGAAAGAATATTTAACTCAGCCTAGGGCATCAGAGAAGGCTTCCTAGAGGGAGGGAAAGACCTAAGACTACTGATGAGTGTTTTGGATAAAATGAGATAGCGCGGGGCATGAGAACAACATATTGAGGCACTGACACTTCAATATGGCTGCACTGAATTATAGATAATATAGCCAGAGAGGTGGTTAGGGGCCAGGCTGAGGGTGGGGGGTTATGCAAACTTGGCTGGACTGTGATCCTAAGGACCACAGACATGATTAAATGGCTTTAAGCACAAAAGGGACAGATCACTCTTGCCTGATTTGCGGAAGACTGAAGTGAGACAAGGATAATGGCAAGAAGAACAGTAGAGGCTGATACGGCAATCCAGTTAAAAAAGATAGTGACCTGTACTTGAGTGATACAGGGGTGGAAAGAAAGAAAGATGAAAAAATTTACGGGAGAAATTACTAGGGCTGTGGTAGTTACTGGGAGAAGGTTCCAATTCAAAATGTTTAGGAATGAAGTTTCACACACAATGTGCTAAATAAACACAAACCACTTTACACTTAGCATCCTCAAATCAGGCAGGGGGTGTGATTTCATATCTGTTAGCTCTTGTGAGCACTCCCCTGCTTGGCTTCTATTGAACAAATCCCTCCTGGGATTTACTGTTCAGATAAAATCTCTCTAAACCAATGGTTAACCACTTCTGAATCTGAAAAATCTGATAAAGCAAAAAATATAACTACACATACAAAAGTGCATATCTAGACCCCAAAGATGCCCTAAACTATTTCACATGTGTTCCTTTTGTTTTCCAGTTCTAATAATTTAAGATAATATAGGTAGTATTAAAGAATCAGATGGGCAACTACTTTTAACAATGTCCACTGAAATATGTTCATAGAATTTTGTTTTTGAGAAACTGGTAAAAACCACTATCTTCTCTCTCATCCTTGCCTGGCCTTTCAATGTCTGTCACAATATGCTTATGCCTCTGTTGATTAATTTTGTAAAATTATACGCTCAAGCCTGTTTCTTCACTTCGACTGATCTCTACTTAATCCTAATTTTATAAGCTGTAGATGTTAATATTCTTGCCCTTTCCTCCTCTCTCCCACCCCATTCCTTTCAGCTTCTAAATGTCTTCAGTCATATTTACAAGGTTGGTAATTGCAAAACATAATATAAATGTTCAGTTTCCTGAGCTTTTCTATAGATGAATATACTTCCTTTTAGTCAAACAAGGAGAGCTCCATATCCAGTCATGTTCCCATTTTTTGCCTGAGTAGCCAGGGTTTTTAGAGGTTGATACAGTGTTCAAAATAACTAAGATGCCTCTTCTCCCAAATGATTTATCATCTTAAACTTTAGCCATCCTCTTCCAATGTTTTAATGTTATAAGTACTTTCAAATCCTCTTGGAAATAGCTGCATAAAAGTATAAGTTTGTTAAGGTGTCTATGTTTGAAGCTGAAAATCAAATTTCAAATCCTATCAACAGATACTATGTTGTCTGTTGTTATAACAGAGGCTGGAAATCTAAGGAGGTTGGGGGTTAAGGTAGAGTGTGCAAAGGAAAAGAGGCCTCCAGGGATTTCCAATCTCTCCTGAAGGAATTTTTTTTTTTTTTAAGACAGGGTCTCACTATGTTCAGGTTGGCCTTGAACTAACTACTATGTAACACACTGGCCTCTAACTTCCAGAGATCTTCCTGCCTCGGCCTCTCTAGTGCTGGAATTACAGGCATGCACCACCAGGCCTGGCATCAGGAAGGAATTCTATATTGTGCATCTCCCTGTGTAGTCATTCATCTCCTATAACTGTCACTCTCCTTCCTGTTAACCATTCTAGCTTTCACCCCATCTAGCCACTCTGGCCTTTCACAGATTCAATATCCCTTATCCAAAATATTTAGGACATGAAGTACTTTAGATTTTCCGAGACTTTTAAATGTTTTCATATTCTTTGTTTGTTTGTTTGTTTGGTTCTTCTCTGGTACTGGGAATCGAACTCACAACCTTGTGCTTGCCAGGCAGGCACTGTACCGCTGAGCTAAATCCCCAGCCCCCTTAAATGTTTTCATAATGAGAGATTTGGGGGATGACAATTCATTTATGCTTCATATACACCTTACATACATAACTTAAAGTAATTTTACACAGGGTTTCTAGTGTACTTCCATTCTGATTGTGACATGTCATGCAGTCAGGTATGGGATTGTCCACCTTTGACATCAAGTCAGTGCTCAAAAATTTCAGATTTTAGAGCATTTTGGATTTCAGATTTTTAGATTTGGGATGCTTAACCAGTATTTCCTGAAACTCTTGACATCATACACTATTTCATTCAAATGTGTGCTCAAACATTACTTTGTAAGAAAGCCCCCCAACACTACATAAAATGCTACCCACTATCCCCTACTCTTGCTAGGTTTTATTTTAGTCGCTAATGTGTACCACTAGCTGATGCTATGTATTTCTTTATTATCCACTTATTTTTAAGATAGGGTCTTGCTAAGTTGCCCGGGCTGGACTCAAACTTGCAATCCTCTTGCCTCAGCCTCGCAGACTGCTGGGGCTACAGGCAGGCATCACTAGGGCCTTTTTGTCCTACAGCTCTGTCCCCAGTGTTTAAGACAGATACCTAAATAAAATGGTTAAAGAGAGAAATGAAGGTGTCGGGCTGGACTTGAACCCAAGTCCTTCACAGAGCTACATCCCCATCGCTTTTTATTTTTTATTTGCGGGCAGGGTCTCACTAATCTGTCCTCCTGACTCAGCTTCCCAAAGAACTGGGATTACAGGCGTGTACCACTGCGCCTGATGTAAATTTGTGTTATTTGTGTGAACACTACAATCATTTTGATACGCCCTCAAGTCTTTGGCTGTAACTGTCCTTTACAAAGTCCACACAGTCTAGGAACTGCTATAGACGGGACTGAAAAGCCACAAACATCTATGAATCTACTTGGGGAATTAGGCTCACTCAGCTACTTTACAGCCCACATTCAAATCGGATGATTTTCCAGACTGCCTCTTGTGCGGGCGGCATCTGTTCCTGAACCTTCTAAAGACTGCAAACCTGTAAGGCAAGGAGGGCTCGGGATCTCGAGATCTTAAACATATCCACAGCGGCTGCTCACGGCAGAGCAACGAAAGTTGGAGCGACTTCGCAACAGCTGCAGGAGTTTCACTCCCGGCGCGGTGCGCCGGTGCGAACGAGCCTCCCCGCGGGGCGCCGCTGCCGACCCCGGGCCCGCTCCGCCGCACCCGGCTGCCTTCCCGGCCCCCGCGCACGCCACCGCCCGCAGGGGCGCCGCGCCGAGGAGCTCCGGGACGCAAGGCACCCTCGCCTGACCATGCTCACCCTTGGTCAGCGTGTCCAGCACCCCCGACTTCTCCAAGTACCTCCGGAACTGCTCGCGCTTCGAGTCGGCGGCCTGAGGAGACACCGCGGGTCAGAGACCGGAGCCCGGGGCCAGGGCAGCGAGAAGGCGCGGGGAGTCCAGCAACCCGCCTCCGCCTCGCCGCCTCAGGCCCCCAAAACCTACGCGCGCGCCCCGACTCCCTCCCGGAGCCGACCAGCGGCTGGCTGCCGCCCGTACTGCCCAGCCACGCCGCGCCCCTCTCACTTTGTAATGGGCCATAGTGACAGGGGCAACGGCGTCGCTGGCGCCGGCGACCGTGGCAGGCGGGCTCGGAGCAGCACTGCGCGTGCGCAGGAGGGATCGCGCGCCTGCGTGCTCGCGAGCCACGGGCCGCGCTCCCCGGGGTGGGGCCTGTTTTCATGGCGACCGAGACGCTCCGAATCCCCCACGGCTGGCCGAGCCGAGGGAGGCTGCGTACGCCCGCCCTTCGAGCTGTCGGAGTGCCGTTGTCCCTTTCCTTCCTTTTCCGGTCCCGTGGTGACTCGGTTGCTGAGCGAGGAGCAAGGTTTCGGTAACGGCGCAGGACGCTCCGGGGCTGGCCGAGGTGGGCGTGGTGGCCGGGCGGGCCGGGGACTGGGCTCTTGCTGCGGGGTGGGTGGCCCCAAGTGGCGGTGGCCGCACCCTTCTCTGTTGGGACCTCGGAAGCTAGGCTGAGCTGCGTGCTGGGCTTTTTGGCTCTCATCCAGCAAAAGGCAGGACAGACGCAGGGCGCCGCTTGGATTTACAGTGGCGTGAGAGGAGTGTTCGAAATTATTTGTTTCGGCTCTAGCCTTCATACTTGAGTCTCCATGTTTTATGGCTTATTTGAGTTGAGGTGGACTTGTGAAGTGTGAGCAGTACAGTGCTAATAAAATCTAGCTTCCTGTGTGCCAGGAACTGTGCTAAAGATAGGGGTTTTTCGTTTTAATCTTTACAATACCCCTGAGGTTTTAGAAACTGTAATCCCTTGTATTTTCCTGCGGAGCAGCTCCAGGGCGTTCCACAGATCATCACAGGGATCTTTGATCCAAAAAAAGGGTAAAGCCTTCCCTTAACTCTTCGTATAAAATAACCAGGCCTCCTACGATCTGCTCTCAGCATACCTTTGTGATTGACTTTCCAGAATGGTCCAGATTTCACGTGCTTTTCTGCTACCCATATGCCAGATCCTTGTACCCCAACATTTGAAGATGGGCACAGTACCTCTAGTCCCTTTTTTTTTTCCTGCTGCATTTCTCTGGGTCCTCTTTAGTTCTCCAAATTTTTTAAAGATGAGA